ATGATTGATGGTAATATTGGGATATACATGAATGTTTCCTTTAGTTATAATAAATATTAAAGGGATGGGCTTATTGGTGAAAGAGATATGTCCCCTATACCTAGAATAAGAAACGTGCTTGGTTGGGGACTTTTGCATAAAAATCCCTATAATTTAATTAATTACAATATTTTTCAAAAAGAAAAAAAAAAAAGCCGTTAGCCACCGCCAAACTGAAACAAGTGCACGATCGACATTATGTATTTCAATTTCTCTTAATTTCTTCATTAAATAATATATTGACTTTATGTATTTTTTTTTTATATATATAAGAAAAACTTTTGTAGACATTCACCTTCTTCCCTCTACGATGGTGGTTGTGTAGAGGTGGTGCACGGTGGCTGCGGAAACTAAGGGCTGCGCCGGCGGCTTCGAGAGTCAGCTCTAATTACAATTGACATTTTCATTCTTATCATAATTACAATTGACATTTTTGATTTTTCATGCTTACCAATAACTAGTATTTCACCCGTGCGATGCACGGGTATAATTTAAATAATAAAAAGTATTCTAGATAAAATAATTTACTAAAAATTTAAAAAAAAATAATATATATAATATGACATAATAAAAAAAAATATTCAGTCCGTTTGATTTAAGTACGGAATAAAACAAAATAATTAATAAAAGTAGTAAATATGAAAAATGTGGTATTAAGAATACAATGCATCATCGGTTACGAATGTTACAACTATTATTGAACCAACACACTCGAATCTTTAATGTGAAACTTAATTATCAAAGTGGGGCTTGAAAGCACATTCATTGACGTAGCTCGTCTAGTTAATACCTAGCGAGTAACTTGCACATTGTTAATTTCTCATATGCAATCATGGCACACATTACTGAAACATAAATAACCTAAAAGTGAAGAGATAAATATAATTAATATTAAATTACTTTGATAAAATAGCTAGTTCATTGAATTCGACTACAAAATTAGCATAAATTGCAAATACACTGAACACAACAAAATAATACAAAAGTCAAATGTTCACGCCACCTCTAAACTTAACTCTCGATATTACAATGTATAATTGTACATATCACCTATAATATTAATATTAATACTAATATTAATTCTAATATTAATATAACTACTAATATCAATACCAATACCAATACCAATATCTATATCAATACCAATATCAATACCAATATCAATACCAATACCAATACCAATATCAATATCAATACCAATATCAATACCAATATTAATGCTAATACTAATACTAAACTAATACCAACACTAATATGCGTAGTCAATGTAACACTAATACTAATACTAATAGTAATACCAATGGCTGCTAATACCAATGACAATGTTAATACTAATGCTAATACTACTACTAATATTAACTATAATACTATTATTAATATTAACACTAATAATGCTCATACTCATATTCATAGCCATGCTCATATTTATACTTATACTCGTACTCATTCTAATATTCATACTAAAACTCATACTAATATTCATAATAATATTCATACTCATACTCATACGTCTACTCGTACTCATACGCATACTTATATTCATAATCATATCAATATTACTACGAATACTAACACTAATACTAATATTGATAGTAATATTGATAGTAATCATGATACTTATACTGATACTCATAATGATAGTCGTAGGGATACTGATATTGTTAGTGATACTAATATTGATATAATAATATTGATACTGATACTTATATTGATTTTGATATTGATATCGATACTTATATTGATACTCATACTTATAATGATACGCACAATTATACTCACACTACTACTTTTTATACTGATACTGATACCCATGTTGATATTCATATTGATATTGATTATGATAATAATATTGATAATAATACTGATACTCTTATTGACACTCATACTGATACTAACACTGATACTCATAATCTGGCTAATATTGATATTGATATTTGTATTGATACTAAGATTGATATACTAATACTGATAGTAATACTACATTGACACTATTATGATATTAATACTAATATTGATATTAATACTGACAATAATATTTATACTCATATTGATACTTAATACTCATTAGTCATACTGATACAAATACTATTACTTATACAAATATTGTTGTTAATACTGATATTAATTCCGATACTAATATTAATACTCATACTAATACACTTAATATACTCATACTAATACTATTAATACTAATATTGATACTAATATTGATATTCATACTGATATTCATAATGATACTAATATTGATACTCATACTAATAGTGATATTAATATTAATATCGATACTAATACTGATATTAACATAGATATTACTATTGATATTCACATTGATATATTAATATTGATACTCATATTGATACTCACACTGATGTTTACTTATACGCATATTGATACTGATGTCGATATTGATACACATATTGATATTGTTACTGATAATGATACTGATATTGACACT